GGGTCTCTTGGCCTGGTGGTTCGCAGCTGGTCTTTTGGCTTTCGATCGGTTGTCAGCATGCTGGTGGCGTCCAAGTCAGCAGAACCGGTAGGATATTCTAGTTAACTTGTATTTCTCTCCCTCTTTCCCTGGGTTGTTCCTTTACCTTTCTCCTTGTAAATAAATCCATTATTGAACCTTTTTGTGTGTGTCCATAGTGCGATTGAGTCTTAAGCGCGTGGGCGAGGACCCAATTCACATTGGAGTGCCCTGTAACAAAACTACCAGCCCTGACCTCTGTGAGGCCTTCTACCCCCTTCTCCCTGAGCATATGCTCCTCTCCTCTAGCAGGTGACTAGCCAGGTGGACACATCCTGTCCCCAGATCCGGACTCGGGCAAAGTGATCTGGACAGACCTTCCCAGAAGACACCCTGATTGTCTCTGCCTGCCTCCAGTTCAAGATTAATTTCTTTGTGGCTTTGTGGTTCCACCTCTTCTGCCTCTTCAGAGAAACTGGTCCATGTACTGTCTTCTCGAACTAACTTGACCTGCTACCCTTCTAACTCACTTCCCTGCCAGTGCAATCAGGTCACAGTCATGCCACCTCATCAGCAGTTGAGCAAACACTGCCTAGGTCTTCTCTGCACAGCAGAACCCTTGGAAGGTGCGGTTTGTCTCCACCCTTTCCCCCACTCCAGTCCTACACCATTCTGGTCTCCATCACTTCAGTCCTTGATGGATCCCAAACCTAAAGGACACTTTGCAAACTTTTTCCTGCAAATTTCCTCTGTTGCTTCCGACTTTGACTTCTAGTCATGTTATTTTCTCTCAGTATCAGGGTGGTCTTTCTGTTGTTTCTTCTTTTTGGAGTTCAGCAAGATGGTTGCAGAGTGAGGAGGAGGGCTGGCCTCCTTCACACAAGAACAACAAAACTAATATAAAACAAAGTCTAAACCCCCAAGGGAAAAACTGATTATCAGCTTACACAATAGGACTTATCATCTTACACAGTGGGACCATCAGCTGACTGAAAGGGGTTGGAAAAGCCCTGAGTGAACACTGTTTAAAGTAACAACTGGCGAGTTCAACCCTCACAGGGAGGAGGGGTCCCAAGGCAAACCGCCCCCCCTCCCCCATTGACTGTGTGCACACCAGCAGGGTGCTGCTAGGATTCTGCATGACAGCGGGTGCCCAGCAGGCACTCAGGACTGAGGGTGCTTGTGGGAGCTGCAGAGGGGAGGACACAGAACTTGAGGGCACAGGACATTTGACTTAAATCTGAGACTCATAAGGCAGAACAGCTATAGCCAGAATCAGCTCAGCCCTCCGACTTCCTCACAAGAGGCCTTGACTCAAGTGCCTGGGCTGAGATATCAACACTTGCCATCCCTACAAAGAAATGATTCACAACAGGAAGTTCAAATTCCTGAGTCCACTAGAGTGCTCCTTTGATGCCTATTGCCAGGTACTCTTCTACCTACTAACCCTCAATGGCACCAGTCTCCAACTACCCCCAAAAGTACAAAAGAGCAGCTGGATATTTATCCCTACTTTTCTGTTTTTGGGATTTGTTTGTTTTAGCTTTCTCTTGAGGCTGCTCCTCTCTTCCAGATTGTTCCTCAAAGAAGACTATCTTCTGCAGCTGAAAGCCACTTCTCACTTAAATTCCCCCCTTGTTGCCAGTCCCTGGCTCCTCTCTGAGAGCCACCAAGTTGCCCTTGGACTGTTCCAATTCCATTCCCAAGGACACCTCAAGCTTGTGAATTCTTTCAGAGAAATAGTAATTATTGATAGCTTCTATAAATATTAAAATTAGTCCTTTCTGTAGCTGAAGATGTTGGCGATCATGTGTGTGTATGTGTGTGTTTTTAATGAAATGAAGACTTTTATAAGATGAGGAAAGTCAAGTGATTCTTTAGATGAAAAGATGGAGATACCTGGAAAGAAATTTTCTGGGAAAGTTGGGGGTGGAGGGAGTGGTTGAGGAGTGGCTTGTGGGGGCAGGGAGGAAAGAGGAGAGGAACTGGCATTACTGGTTAGATGTTGGGAGAAAGAGATTGATTTGCCAGCTACCTAAGCAGGAGGGATATGGTGGGGAGAAAAATTTTAAAGGGGACTTTATGAGTAGCCTTATGATATTTAGAGTAACTTATTTTTCCCTCTGTCTCTCCGGCACACACACACTTTTACTTCTGCCCTCTCTTCTCCTGTCTCTCTTCTCTTTATTTATTTTTTTTCCTTTTTCTATTGTCACTAAAATTGTTTGTTGCATTTCCCTGTTTTGGTTTTTTGTTTTTTTTGAATGTTCTTGCTGACAGACTTTTTCTTGTTCCTCTGAGCCTTCTCCATGACTGGACATGAACCTTGACTCCAGTCTGATCTCCAGCTAGCCTCGTTTAGTCTTATCAAAGAATACGTCTTTCCATCCTTACTCTCTGGTCATACTTACTGCCTACCCAACTTCTTCATCTCCCACCTTGATTTTTCAGCCCTTGAAAAATCAATTCCTTTTTCAAGAATCTTGTTGGGTAAGTTAAGTAAAAAAAAAATTACCCTTGATACCACCGCTTGTTTTTCTGTCCTCTAACCACACCACTCTGTTCCCCAACTATAAATATTTTCTTATCCTCATTATATTTTGAGTTTGATTTCTCAGTGTCTTGAACAATCTTATTTACTGTTTTGGGTCAAAACAATGGTAGCCTTAACATTGTTCTCCATATTGTGACAGACCTGTGAGGACAGGGCGGTGCCCACACCCCCTACCCTCTCATAAAGAGCCTCAGGATAGAATGGGAATGTCTTATGGAAAATTTTAGCTAGAGTTAAAATTACCTTATTCCTACAACCCCAAGATAACTGTTTTGCCCCAACTTCTGTGACGGGACAGGAGAAGGAAGGCGGGAGGCAGAAAGGCTGAGCAAGCAGAGTTTATTGCTCCCGGACAGCAGCAGCTACTGCCAGCTCAATAAGGGTGAAGGGTCTCCTACATAGGTCCTAAGCTCAGATTTCAAAGGCGTGACTCATCGCTGGTGGGGCAGAACAGGCAGCGTCTCACGGTGGAAATGGCGTTGGGGAGTGGAGATTCCTAGAAAAAGGGGAAAATGGGAAAAAGGGGAGCAGGCTCGAGGAAGACATGGGAATGGGAGTCGGGTGCAAGTCTTCCAGCTCTGCCTTCAGCAGAGGTTTGACATTAGCATATGAAATGGGCTGAGATCACAATCACCTTTTTTGCTAAGAATAATCTGGGTCGTTTTGATCTTTAGTTGAGATTATAACATTTTAAAAATCTATCTATCAAGGTTAAATTAGGTACATAGAATCACAAAGTTTAAGACTAATATTACTATATTTACCACAGCGAAGATTGACCAAAATAAAGTCCCTTAAACATTATCTATTACTTAAGGGCTTTCATTCTCATAGAGACATCCTAGTGGGTAAAGTAAAGTGAGGGCAGGAAGAGGAAATTTCTTGTAAATCAAATTAAGGTAAGGTTCTTTGAAAAACTTGTTAGAAAGTTTAAGTGAGTTTTTTTGAAGTCTAGATGGTAGAAAACCATAGGCGACTTGGGTGAATTTTCATATCTAAAGACTAGATAGTAGAAAGCTTGAGTGGTTATTTAGAAACTGAATAGAAGGTTGTGTGAGATAGAGTGATAAGATTTGGGTTTTTCTCAGTCTGGCAGTGAGAGAGACTTTGCAGGAACAGCCATTTGTTTTTATTAATCAGCCAGTTGTTTAATGACTTTTGACTTCAAGAGGAATTTCTCACCGTGGTGCATATACTTGCTTGTCAGGGCCAGGTAGTGCCTTATGAGGCTGAGACAGTCCAACTGTAAGCTGAAGGTTGCTCAGAATATTTTGATATTATGATTATACAAAATAGGGGTGTCATAACATAAGTTAGCGTGGAAAGTCTGATTTTTCAGAGCATTTCCCCTCCACCTGTACCATGTCTGTCAACAGAGGTTGCATAGCTTGTGTTGAAGGAATGGAGGAAGTAACGCAGGCCTCAGAAAAACTAGCCCAGGC